GAAAGAGTTACAGAAAATTATACCAAAATATAGACGTTGTTACCTGTAGGGGAAGGTGGGAATTGATAGCTGATAGGCAAGTCAGACTTAAAAATTTCCCCTGGATACAGGTGCATGTGTCTTAATATTTTAACCATGAGAATGAACCAAATGACTAAACATCTGGAAGGTTCTCCCAAATTCTTTGCCTCCAGCCCAGGGTTTCTGACCTTTCCCTCTGCTGACAAAGCCGACTGGGCCATTCTCTGTGTGGGAGCACCCAGTGTATTGTAGGGTGTCAAGCAGCACCCCTGGTCTCTCCACTTAGTGTCAGTAGCATAGCCCCCCTGAGTGACAACCACAAATGACTTTGACTGTTTTGAAGGGAGTAAAAAGAATCAAAGGCACAAGCCAAGCCCACTGCTGTCAAGTGGAGTCCAAACCCAAAGCACGTCCCAGGGTAGAAGTGTCCCCCGGGCTTCCAAGGCTGCCATCTCTACAGGGGCAGAATGCCACCACTTTCTTCTCTCGCTAGAAACCGCTTACCATTCAGTCAAAAGCTTGACCATTGTGCATCTCAAGAAGAGAATCATCAGTGTGTACCTAGGGGAAGCGACGAGAGCAGCACGTGCAAAGGCCCTGAGGCAGCTTTGTGCCAGGGGAGTTCTCAGAACATGAGGGAATCAGCATGGCCAGAACAGAGTGACCAAGGGGACCTGCAGACCCTGCCCTCGCCGCAACGCCACTCTGCTACGCTCACCTTCCCCAGCCATCTGCCTCAGTTTTTCCAGAAACACTGTTTGATGAGGGTTTGTCGGGTACTGGACAAATTTGCTGGGCAGTATTAAAGTAACACTGCATCTGTCTTCGGATGGTGCCTTTCTGTCCACATTTCACAGATGAGGAGACTGAGGCTCAGGGCAATATCAAGATCTAAACCCAGGTCTTCCTTCTTCAAGGTTTCTCGCTTTGCTGTCGGCTGCCAATCTAAAGGCGTGCATTTGGACCCCACTCAGTCACAGCCAGGAAGAAAGGCCTGGTTATTTGCTTCCATAAAGATTGAAAACTCAAAGGTTCTGCTGTCAAGTGGATTCTGACTCATAACAATCTTGGAGGACAGAGCAGAACTGCCCCCCATAGGCCCCCCAAGCTCTAACTTTACAGCCACATATTTCTCCCACAGAGCAGTGTGGTGGGCTTGACTCTGGTTAGCAGTGAAGCTTTTAACCATTGAGCCATCAGGCCCCTTCTGTGGACGGGAAAGCACAAGGGAGCAGTTCTACCCAGTGACACATGGGGGCAGCCTGAGTGGGGATCGAGCATCCCAACAGCTGGCTCCTCCAGGCCGCTGCCCTCCAGGCCGCTGCCCTCCAGACACCCCCTGCTCCGGCCCCCTCCTCTTCCTTTCCTGACAGGATCGCACTGAGGCAACGCATAAGCCCAGGACCTGTCCTCACATGTCATCAGCCCCACATCCAGGCAGGTGTCTCCCACCATGGCCCTCTCACTCATCCCTTCCTCGTCCCCTTCTCCAGCCTCAATGCCATCTCCTCCCAGTTCACAAGTGGGAGTCCCAGGTGAGTTACAGGAGAGGCGAAGCATCCGGTGTCAGTGCGGCCACCACCGTGGTCATGCCATGTTCTCTCGGCCCCAGATCTCAGAGGGACTGTCCACCATGGAGACTCACTCCAGTGTGACCTCCCCACTGTGTCATTCAAAGCACACAAATCACCTGACAATGTATTTCTTTCTTTATTTACAATCAGTCCACTCGAACACAGATTTCTCAACAGCAGGGGTGTGTGTGTGTGTGTGTTTCTCTTTCTCTCGGGGGGGGGCGACTGGGGGGGTGTCCTTGATGCACCTAGGGCCAAGAATAGGGGCTGGTACACTTGGATAGATGGATGGTGAATGGATTATGGATAGATGGATGAAGAGATTATAGGTGAGGAGATGATGGAGCAAATTAGAAAATTCACTGCAATTAAGCTGGAACTGAACAACAGCTGATCCCGCACTGGGTTTCTAAGACCCTAAATCACATGGAGAGAGATGGCCCATCTTTCTCTTAAAGAGCTGCTCATGAACTCAGCGCAACTTCCTACAAACTACTCCATGCGAGTTCTCTAGATTATGTATGAATTGTGGATGAGTTATTGCATTATGGATGGATGGATGGATGGATGGATGGATGGATGGACTATAGGTGACTGTGGGTGGCAGGATGGATTATGGATGAGTGAATTGATTATGGATGGATGGATGGACAGACGGACTAAAGAAAATATAAATGCAAGGTATGTATTAATTATGGATAAATGGAATATGATTATGGATTATGGTTATTAGATTATGGATGGATGGATTATAAATGGATAGATGATGAATGGACTATAGATTATAGTTGGATGGATAGATGTGGATAAATTACAGATAGATGGAGAAGTAGACTATGTTGGGGTCAATGGTTGAATGTATTGTAGATGAATGGGTGCATTATGGCTATACAGATTATAATAGAAAGACTTTAGATTAATGAACTGAGATTATTTGAATGAACTGACAGTTATTTGCATTATAGATAAACAGATAACGGATAGATTTTAGACAAATAAGTGAGTATTGGGTGGATGATTGCATCATGGATGATGGATGGATGGATGGATGAATGAAAGAAAGAAAGGATGGATAAAAATAGTTTTTCCACCCTCTTCCCTGGAAACAATCAGGCAGACAATGGCAATGAGGAGGAAATGCGATACATGGGGAAGCATTCTAAATCTGTTCTTTCGTTTGTGCTATTCTCTCCATCAAAAGCATCCTCCTTCTTCCTCTCCACCTCACACAACCTTTCAAGGACCTTTTTAAATGCCAAAAACACAGACATCCAGAAAGGCTGTTCCCTGGCAGCACCTCCCTGGATTGACCGTGATCATCTTTGTGCTTCCTACCCACATTCCCACCGTGTACATGTCACAGAGATGAACTTCAAAGTGCTCTGTCCTGAAGGGTCTCTCAGGTTGGGCAATGAGTGTGGTTCTCTGAAGGCAGCATCACAGGATACGTGGACTCCCTGGCCAATGGACCCCTTACCAGCCTGGCCTGGCTGGCCTAACACCACTTCCTTGTGCCCCAAGAGTCACAAAGACATCTCACAAATAGGCAAATCTGATGACACTGTGGTCAGCAGATTGGCCAGGGGGGCCTCTGAGCTACCCTCTGCCTTTCGGGAATCTCTGCCCAGGCCAGGGAGGGGGTAACCCCTGGAGGAAGGAAATGAAGCAGAACTAAGGGCTCCCACCTCCTCCACAGATAGACTTTTCATCAACCCCCTCAGGACCCCAGTGGGTCCCACTCCAGAAGCAATGTCTTCCCTTCTCGCCATACAGATGGCACCTCTCCCGCGAGTCAGAGAGGTCGATGCCCAGCACTCTGCCAGCCAGCTCCAGCGGCCCCACCAACTCCCTCTCTCGTGTAAGGCCTCGTCTCCGGGAAGGAGCCAAAAAAAGACAACAGGGGTACCACTGTGACCTTCCGAGGGAGGCATGTCTTCTCATGTCATCTTAGATCTACAGAACAGAACTGCACCCTCGCAAGACCCAGGACCATGCCTTCTCAGTCATCAGGGCAGACCAAGTCCCCACAGACCCCAGGACAGATCATGTCTCCTCAAAACCTAGGACGAAAATGTGTCCACTCAGACCCCAGGACAGATTCATGCAGCCAGACCCTGCCCCTCACACCCAACATAGGCAATGTCCTCTCAGACCCCAGGACAGAACACGGGGGGGATCCCAGGACAGACCACGTCCCCAGGGACCCTAGAATAAATCATGTTCCCTCTGAACAGACTCCTCAGGACAGATCTTGTCCCTTTAGACTCCAGGACAGACCAAGTCCCCTGAGACCCCAGGGCAAACCCTATCCCCTCAAACTCCAGGACAGTTCATGTCTCCCTGGACTCTAGGAAAACTCATATCCTCTTCAACGCCAGGACAGACCATGTCCCCTCAGATCCCAGGACAGACTATGTGTCCTCAGACCCCAGGACCTCAAAACTCAAGAGTCTCCTCAAGCTCTGGGTCTGAACACCGCTGGTCCAGCCCTCATCTAACGCCTCACCCCACACATCTGGGCCCCCGACTGCCCACTGATGGGCCATCAGACAAAAAGCAGGAGAGAGGAGCCGGCCTGCTGCCTCCCCCTCCCCGACCACATTCAAATTGGGATTTGAATATATTTCCTGAGCTGGGGGCGGCTGCCTTTCCTGCCAGGGGCCCTGGACCCTAAGCCCCTCCAGAAAGCCCTGTGGAGAATGGGTAACCATTTGCAGCCCCCTGAACCAGGAACCTGTTTCCCGGCCAGGCCAAAGCCCTGCCTCAGTTTCCCCTCCAGAGGCATGGCAGCTGAGAACCCAAGGGCACAGCCCCTGCTCGTGCACTGCCCCAGCCTCCGCAGGAAGTTAAGGGGAAGGAAGATGTGAGGGGAAGGAAGGGGCCCTGGGCCCGGGGAGCAGACACATGTAGGGGAAGAAGTGTGGAGGCTCCTCCTCCAGAGCCAGAATGGGGGTCACAGGAGTCCATCTGCTCAGGCCCCAGGAAGGACGCCCAGCGGGTTAGTGAGCCCCCAGGACCCTAAGAACGCCTCATCTGGGGGCTGGCTTGCCTGTGTGATCCCCCCGCCTGGCCAATTCTCCACCCCCACAGAGCAGAGCTGGTTCCTGGACTTTTGGAGGTCATGACCTTTCCGAAGCAGACCCCCAGGCCTCGCTTCCCTGGTGTCAACCGCTGGATTCGAACCACCAGCCTTTCTGCTAGCAGTCCCACGCTTGCTTAACCATTTGTGCCACCAAGTGTAGCGCCTGTGCACTGGGGGGGAAAGGGGGGTACCGAGTTGGGTGCACTCCCTTTGACTTTGTTTACCACCTCCAGAGGAAGGGCATGAAGCCATGGAGTGCCAGCCCAGGCGCCCCACCCCTCGCCTGTCCCCTTCCCCAGCGTGCTGGGCGGCAGCTGGCTCACCTGGGACATCTGGGGGCGCAGGTTGACCTCGCGCAGGTTGATGGCATGGGGCAGCAGGTTGTTGAGCAGCTGGCAGAGGAGGACTCCGTCCCGGAGGGCCTGGGCCAGCTCGCACACCTGCGCCCCATCCCAGGTCACGCGGTGGCTGGGCGGCAGCACGCGGCACTGGATGAGCCAGTGACTGCACTGGCGCCACAGCTCCATGGCTCCTGCCCTCCGGCCAGCAGCCCCGGGCCTCGCTGCCCGCTAGGAACGACAGCTAGGCCTCCCACTTCCTCTTCTCTGCCTGTAATTGTCGCGCGGAGGGGGTGGAGGAGGAGGAGGAGGAGGAGGAGGAGCGTGGGGTGGGGAAGCACCTGCAGCCCAGCCTGGCCCTGCCCCTCGTGCAGGGGGGCTCCAGCCACTCCTTCCCGAGTTCAATGCCAGCCTGGACACTTGAGGCTGGGGAGGCAGAGTGAGCTAAGCAAGGTCTGTCAACGAAACGAGCGCTTCCGAGATGCACCCCAAATCCGACCTTTCGCATGCCCTCCTCTGCCGCCACCCCACTCGCTGCTGCAGCGTCACCACCCTCATCTGGTCCCCAGGGTTCCCACCCTCGGTCCCCACAGCAGTCAGAAGGTGAACACTCGAGTTAGGGCAGAGCCCTCCTCTGTCCACAGCCCTCCAAGGCTCCCACCTCCTGAGCTAAAGACTCCAGTCCTCTTCTCTGCCCACAAGACCCTGGTCCTGCCCTGCCCTGTCCCCTTCTACCTCCTCTCCTCCTCTCTCGCCCCTCACTCACTCCCTACAGCAACCCAAGTCACCAGGCCCTGCCCCAGGGCATTTGCACGGGCTGTGCCTTTAGCCTTGGTCAATGCAATGACCCCTTAACCTCTCACTTAAGGCCTTTCCAAATACCCCCTTCTCTTGAGAGCTTCCAAAGGCTCCTCCCCTTTCACACCGATTTGTTTTTCCTACCAGCTGTTCCAAGGGAGGAAAATGGGCAACCTCCTTCCACGTAAATCTGCAGCCTGAGGAATGCAGCGGAGCAGCTCCTGGTCCGAATCACCCGGAGCACGGGAGGCCAGCTTTGGTTTTCCCACCTCATCTCTCACCAGGTGAAGTCCTGACAACACCGGGTAAGCCCGCTTGCCTGTGGAACTAAGTTGTGTTTCAACTGGCCCCTTTCTCTGGCGGCCTAGTGGGTACAAGCTTGTGCTGCCAGCCCAGAGGAGAACGGTTGGAATTCACTACTAACTGCTCAACCAGAGAAAAATGGACAGTTTCCTCCTGTGCTACCTGCAGCCTCTGAAAGGCCGCTCAAGGATCCGCTGTGATGTGTCAGACCTGACCTAAGGGCAGTGCATGACTGTCCCCAGCACCAAAATGCCCATGACGGCAGGAATCTGTGCCTCTTATGTTCACTCTAGGTCACTAGATGGCACAGTTTGCCTTCAACTACCATTTTATTCCACAAATAACATGCAAATTCTATGTATGTTTCACAGTCTGGTGTGTCCTTTTTGTACAGGCCATGGTTTTTGCAATCACTTGTTATGCATCAGAGAGTTGGACAATGACTAGGGAGGATAGAAGGAGAATTGACGCCTTTGAGCTGTGGTGCTGGAGAAGAGTATTGAATGTACCATGGACTGCTAGGAAAACAAACAGATTCATCATAGAGAGGGTTAAACCAGGCTGCTCCTTGGAGGCAAGGATTCTGGGGCTTTGTCTGACATACTTTGGACATGTTGTAAGGAGAGACAGGTCTTTAGAGAGGGACATCATGCTTGGTAGGATAGAGGGACAGTGCAGGAGGGGAAGACCCTCTATGAGGTGTATTGATTCAGTGACTGGGGTAATCAGGATGGGTGTGTCAGAGGCAATGAGATTGGCACAGGATAGAGCAGGGTTTAGGGCTGTTGTACATAGGGTCGCTATGAGTCGCAAACGACTCGACGGCACATAACAACAATAACAACAACAACTTGTTTTATTGACGGATTTTACAGGATGGAACATTTTATTACATTGAAGAGATTTATATGAGACAGCATGGTGGTGGTTAGATAAGTCCAAGGTAGGAGAGATCCCCTGTTTTGGCAGCCAATGCCATTTCTGGGGAAAGAGACAGTCGGACAGGAAGTGTATACAGGTTGTCTTCAGTCAGTGGGTGGCTCCGGACACGCAGCAGCATATCCAAACCTTGGGCCCGAATTTCAAAATCTAAGCTTTCTAAACATCGGATCCTTTTCAGCAGCCATCTCCTCGCTGGGATTGGTCCTACTATTATCGTACGAGTTTGACCTGAGGCCGTGAACCACTGTTCTAGGTGGATAAGGGTGCCGCTGTGCTCCTCAATTCGGCGAAGGAGTGTGTCTGAAGAGCCTGTGCCAAAGATTTGCTCTTCAGTTTCCTCGTCTACGCAAAATTCCAGTGGCTGCAGAAAGTTTGCAGGCGCTCTCCACCACGGCTTCTCTGAGAGAGCATTCTCCAGGGACATACACGCTCCCATGTTGCTGTTTGCTTACATTATTTTACAGGTTGTTATGTGCCATCGAGTTTCCTGAGACTCATAGCGACCTTACGCATAACAGCTCTGAAGCCTGCCCTGTTTTGAGCCAATCTCACTGACTCCAACACACCAATTCCCACTGCTCCAATTACTGTGGCAATCCATCCTATCCGGGATCTTCCTCTCCTGCGCTGTCCATCCACCTTCACAAGCATGATGTCCTTCTCCAAGGACTTGTCCCTCCTGGCCCCGTGCCCAAAGTATGTGAGATGGGGTTTCAATATCCTAGCCTCCAAGGAGATACTTGGTTTCACTCTCTCCAAGACAGATTTAATTGTTTTCTTGGTGGTCCATGGTATGTTAGAGACTCTTCTCCAGCACCACAACTCAAAGGCATCAATTCTTCTTCTGTCATCCTGAGTCATTGTCTACCTGCGATTAGCAAGTAATCATGAAGACCATGGCCTGGATCAGGAGAAAACATAAATGAACTACGAGATAAGCAGGCCTAAGACAAACTCATAGTTTTTGCTTAAAACTATTTGACATAGTTTTAATATTCAACTGTTGAGCTGTGGTTGTTGTTGCTTTGTGCCATCAAGTCAGAGCTGACCCTCCAGAGGATATTCAGAGGCAGGAAATCACAAGGGAGGAGGTTGCCCGTCCTTCTCCCATGGAGCAGCTGGTGGATTCGAACCACATGCCTTTGAGATTGCCTCGGGACTGTGGAGTTGACATGCTATAACTAGCCACTTAAACTCTCAGAAACAAAAAGTCTCAATTGTTTATTTTCCAATTCCCAAGGGGACTGTCAGACACGATCTATGACTTAACCACTTCTTACACCTTTATTGGGCCACTAAAATCAGAATGAGGTGGACAAATGCAGTGACTGCGACCCTGGGTGTAAGTGGAGCAGAGATCGTGAGGATGACACGGGACTGGGCAGGGCTTTGCTTTGCCGTACGTGGGGTCTCTGCGAGTCCCACCTGCCTCAATGGTACCTAACAACAGTGATAAAAAGGAGCATCATATGCCAGAAGTGTGTGGTTCGAAACCACCAGATGCTCTGCTGGAGAAAGAGGGACAATCTCCTCCTGTACCAGTCAAATCTGATTTGACAGTACATGCACAGAAGAATAATAAAATAAAATAAAAAATAAATTTTTTTAAAAGGAGCATCATGTGACTATTTTTATAACAGGAGATGAAAGAAAATGAACAGAATGAGGGAAAATGAATGAACAAAACACAACCTGCTCAACCTTCTAACACAGGAACATGGGTGCATGAGGCTGAAATTCACTTCTGGAAAAGGCATGAGGCATGGTGTGGTATATGCATGGAAATGGTTGACTTTATTTGATCATTTCTTCTGGTTGTTTTGCCATAGAGTTGCAAACGACTCCTAGCTAACCCTCCAGCAGGTTTTCAGACACAGTTAATCTCACAGGAGTAGAGCTGGTAGATTCAAACCACACGCCTTTGGGATTGCAGCACAGCTTCTTACCACCAGGCTCGCAGAGCTCCCTATTTGCATTTTACGCGTGGATGTATTATTTACCTGGGTGCAATGATTTGTGGGAAAAGAACAGTACTTAGCCGGAGGGTGGATGGTTCAAACTCCTCCAACAGCGCTGCGGAAGAAAGGCCTGGAAATCTGCTTCTGTAAAGATCACAACCAAGAAAACCTCAGAAGTAGTTCTACCCTGTCGTATGAGGCTGTCATGAGCTGGGACTGACTTGAGGGTAATGAGTCATGTTGTTGTTGTTGTTGTTGTGTTGGGTCTGCCAGTACCTGGGATATGTATGTGTTCCATGAATAATTGTTCATGAATGAGTGAAAGTCTCTAAGCTGCCTGAGCTGAAACTGACTTGAGGGTAATGAGTTATTTTGTTGCTGTTGTTGTAGGGCTGGGTCCGCCAGTGCCTGGAATATGTGTGTATTCCATGAATAATTGTTCATGAACGAGTGAAAATCTGTAAGCTGAGCATGCCTCTGACATTTATTGCTAATTCCACCTTTACACCACCACCACCACACCATCACTCATCCCAAAGCCATCATCCTCTGTCTCCTTATAGATGCAGCACCATCATTCTTTATTCCATTGGTTTATTTAGCCAGCGAGGATTGTCTTCATAAACTTATCACTAGCTGAAACCCTCTTGATGGTCTGTAGGGACTCTCTCCTCATCTGACAGCTCCCTTGGCATTTCTCACCCTTGTAACCACTAGGGTGCGCTCGACCCCTGCCGTGGACGTGCCTGTGTCCTTTGCAGGTACAGAAAACCAGGCGGAGGCCAGCCGCCCAGCTGTGTTCTCTGAGCCAGGGTGTTCCTCCTGAGCCTGGCGATGCTTCCACATTCGCTGGGGAAATGCTCAGCCTGGAAGGACTCAGCTTCACCATTCTAAAGCCCAAACCCAAATCTCTTGAGCTCCAGGTGATTCCCATCCCCTGACAACACCATGTGAAGTAGATTTGATGTGTAATCTTCATGACGTGGGATCACCAGGCCTTTCTTCCGGGGTGCAGCTTAATGAGTTTGCTATAATTCCAACTTTTTGTTTAAACTGCTTACTGTTGAGTCTTTCTCCTTTTAACTGTTTAATTTTGAGAGGGTGAATATTTACAAATCACATTGAGTTTTGTCATATATTCATAGACATTTTGTTTTATAACATTTCCAGTGATTAATGTAATTAACT